TGGAAAATCGATTTCGAGATTTCAACGGAAATACTCTTGATACTCGGAATCTCTTGATTCCGAAAAAGTGTTTTTTTCAAAACGTCCGCCCGTCTGTGAACATCACTAGTGCCTAAAGCAAACTTAGAATTTTTATCAAAATGGATATTCCCCGGTCGATCTGGCTTGACTAGAGGGGCAGCGATTTTGAAAAAGTTTCTTTAAAATTTGGGAGTACTTTACATGAAGCCTCTCGGACATTTTCAAAAGTTTCTCAAATCGGCTTAAATTTTCTTGAAATAATAGAGTGAAAACCACTTATAAAGATGGCATAGGCCAAAATTTCCCAGTAAACTATACATTTTCGAAATTTGCAACATTTATAATTTTTTCGGCGTTTTCCTACATTTACAAAATTGATGATAGAGATGTTTCCTTCAAATGTAATTTGTTCTTTGAAGTTAGTTCTTTCAAGAATGTCATGCACATTTTGTGGAGCTTTTAGTAGTTTTTGCGCAATATTGCAAGCAAAATGCGCAATATTAAAAAATACTAAAACAAGATTTTCGCTAAAATTGCTCCAAATTGTTTCTTTAAGCTTTGGGTGGTGATAGTCCTAAATGTACTCCATAAGATGGTATAAACGCCATATTGCTCTATTCTTTTGTTTTTTCACAAACTTCAAAAATGTACTTTTTTACTTCTCTCACGTAATAATTTACATTAGTGACGATATGATCCCATTATTATAATTTTGAGTATATGTGCTTTAATGATGTCATATAAAATTTTCCGAAAACTCAATAGGTTTCTGTGAAAATAAGCTCAAAATTCCGCATTTTCAAAATTGCTCAAAAGTCATTTTCTCAAAAATGGCTCCAAAGTTTTTCCTCAAACATTTTGTACGAACAGTGCTAATTGCTCTGTTTAATATGACGTAAAGTTCATTTTGCAGTGTTCTTTTATTCTTTTAAATCACACAAATGTTTTTTTTTTTTTTGAAATATCTCTCACACCGTCAATATGAGCACTTCTAACGATTAGTATTCATTATTACATTAGTGAGTGAATGTTCTTTAATTGTCTTCAAATAAAGTTTTTCGAAAACACAATAGTTTTCTGTGTAAAAGAGCTTACATTTTCGCTTTTATAGTAATGTTTAAACGCCATTTCCTGAAATGGCTCCAAATTTTTTCATGAAAATTTCCATATAGCGCGAGGTTTTACTCTTCTTTAATATTCTTAAAGATATATTTCGGTTATACCATTAGGAAACCGAAAAATTAAGAAAATGTCAAAAAAAATGTACTTTTGGTGGCGATAGATTGCTGCTGACAAAGGGATGAGGCAAGACCACAAAGATAGCCCTGAGCAAAGTATTTAGAAAGTGTTAGTACTAGAAAGTCTGTGCCATTCTGTAGCACCACTATTTTAGATGCTTTTGAATTGTTGATAGTTTTGCAGTGGTATATGTGCAACAAACTTTTGTTCAGTGCTGATAAATGTCAGATCACGTCACATTTGAAATCGACATTTATTCCTCTTAACTATACAATTAGTAGAATTGAAAGGACTGATTTGAAGAAATATCTAAATGTCATGTTTGATCATCGGAAGACCTTTAAATCTCGTTTTGAAAATGCAATTAATTCGTCTAATAATGCGCTTGGATATCTTTTGAGGACTGGCACAAAATTTAAACATCTCCAATCACTTTCACTACTGGGCTTTCCTTTTGTGAGGTCTAAGCTTGAGTGAGATTTAGTGTTTTGGCCTCCAGACAATGTTGGATGAATTAAATCACCGTAAGCATGCCAACGATGAATTTTAAAATACTAGTACTAATTCAGGACTCTTGGTGTTTATCCGCCGAGAGGAATCAATATTGTATCTCTGGCATTTAATTTGATTTTATTAGTCTGGTCAAAAGAAGAATTATGAAAAATTAGTTTTTTTGTCGACTTTTAACAACTTGGTCATATAGTGGCCACTGTGATTGTTTTAACTGTTGGGGGAACTGTTGTAAGAACACGTAAAGACAACACGAACATCCATGCCCGAGGTGGGATTCGAACCCGCGACCCTTCAAGCCGAGGCAGCTACGGCCCTTCAGCCCTAGTGACCTCATTTATCCAGGCGGGCAAAATTTCTTTTATTAAGATATATTATTTATTATTTTTTAAGAAAGTATTGATTCTACATGCATATTTTCTAGTATCTCCTTAACGATTTCTCAATTTAACATGCGTAACTTGAGATTGTTTCATAAAGTGCAACTAATAATATATGTTTTTTTATACGAGTAGGGTGTATACTATTATAGACAATAGGTGAAGAACTTTGTTGGATTGAAAAATCTAATAGACACTCAATTTCAAATGCACCGTTACGTAAAATATTTGTGTAACTAGTTTGTCAGAGTAAGTGTGTTTTACCATGATGAAATATTCAATCCCTTATCGTCGTTGAAGGCGGCTACTCAGTTGAAGTAATTACATTTCCCCTCTTCGATATTGATTTTGTCACGTCGCAAGACTGTGATGTGGCGTCATCGCAATCATTTTTCTCTTTGACTAGGGCTCTCTTTCTGAAGTATATCCAGGAACGTCTCGTAAAAAATTTTTACGTGTAGACGCGGACATTTAGAAGGTAAGAAACGAACTATTCGTCTCTATTTATACGGGGGCGGATCCAGAGACGAGTTTTGGGAGGGGAAATTCAAAATGTTTTTGTCAAATATGTATATGGAGATTTTGTAAATCGTCGCAGGCTACTCCCATCTCATGCTGCGATACAATTTTATTCGTTTTAAAGATAATCCGAAAATATTTTTGCTTGATAGTTTCGTGACAAGTTAAAATTAGTAATTACTGAAATATTTTAGGGGGGATTACCCTCAGTTCCCCAATTTCCCTCATTTCCTTCCCCCTTTGGATCCGCGCCTGAAATACAAGTAACGTTTGTTATAACCTTAATTTTGTATGGGCATATACCGCCATATGTGTAACACACACTTCAGTTTGCCAATTCTTGCGGGACCCAGCGAACGCGTGAAGATTCTCATTGGCTTCGTTGGGGTCCGAATTCGTTTACTACGCTTTGTGAAGTCACAGAGATTATACGAAATCGAGTCCTCGCGGATTCCTGGTTGAATTGATGCCTTATTTGACGCGGCGAGACTCAGGCCACGAGGCCGGCTCTTCCGTCTAATAGCGCAAATTTCGCTACATTTTCTCCAACTAGCGGAGAAAGAAGGTATTTCTCGGGCGACGAAACAGGCGATTTGAATTTAGCTCAGAGGTTTCATTTATGCTTGAGGTTGCTATTAACATGGGACGGCCGGCTTTACTTCTCCGAAGGAAGGCTTACGAAGGATTTTTTCGCCCGAAAATCTACGGCTTCGATTGGGTTTAAACCCGCAAACTTGAGTATAACAGTCCTATACGCTAACGGTTACATCATCGCCACCGCATCCTAGCTGATTAGGTGACCAGCTAGGAATCCCAGGATGTAAAGACGCTGCGCTTCTGGCCGAAGTAATAAAAGGCACTGACTGATTGCGACGTGACGAGACATGACAAAGATAATAACGGAGGATTACTCCATAGAAAACTGCAGTGATTGTTTGCTAACGGAGGATTACTCCATCCGAAGGGTTCAGAAACTCCTGGCGTAAACGAAGACGCTAAACATATTATATATTTTGCTACTTTTATTTTTTTTAAATTCTATAAATGTTCTTAAATTTTATTGAAGAGGTGTTACTATAATGGAAAAAGATTATGTATTACCTTCTTTGCAAATAATCTTTTTTGACTATCTTTTTTTTCGTGGCGCTTCCTGTTTACGAGAGTGAAATCCATGTAGCCCGCATTGTTGAAGTTAAGGATCTTCCACCAGTACTACCACCAGTAATCTTCTGTCTTGATGTTGAAGTTTCGTTCATGTTAATGTCTTAAATCTGATCTTAAACAATTTACAATGTTCACATAAATAATTATTTGCGAATGCCTCAGGTTGCCATCCCTACACAAGACGTCGTTCTCAACAGCTAAACGTTATGTTATGTGCTCGCGACAGTGACTATTAATCTTATGATGTGCTCGCAACGGCGACCACATGCCTTCTCCCAAAATCATGACTATTGCTCCCAATGTTTATACTCCTACAACTACTATCACTGGGCAGGATGTTATCAACGCCCATTGTTTGTTTCGCTAGACCAGATGTTAAATAGCGTCCATTACACCATTGAATGTTTATTTAGCTATTGTATTTTTCGCATGTAGTACAACTCGGACCATGCGTGCATTCGGCTTCAACAGGTGTAAGTACTTTTCCGAGGAGTGGGGAACAACAATTTAGCTAATTCCCGATTTTTATCCCCCAATGTTGTTAGCCTTGAGGGTAAGGACGACGAGACGATGAGATTTCTTCCGCGTAAAGGCAAACTCGGACCGCGCGTGCATCTTAATCTTACTTCAGCAAGTGTGCAACTTTCTGCGGGATCAGCATTTTAGCTGAACGCCGAATTTTTATCGCCCCAAGGTTGTTACCCTGGGGGTAAGGAGGATTGAGACGATGAATTTCTTCCGCCGTCAAGAGGCAAACTCGGACGGCCGCGTGGCATCTTACTTCAGGCAGTGCAAATTTTCTGGGGAATCAGCACTTTAGCGAACCCGAATTTTATCCCCCAAGGTTGTTAGCCCTGGGGGTAAGGACATGAACGATGAGATTTCTTCGCGTAAAGGAAACTCGGACCGCGCGTGCATCTTAATTCAGCAGTGCAACTTTTTCTGGGGGAATCAGCACTTTAGCTGAACCCCGAAATTTTATCCCCCAAGGTTGTTACCTGGGGGTAAGGACGATGAGAGCTGAGATTTCTTCCCGCGTAAAGGAAATCGACCGCGCGTGCAATCTTACTTCAGCAGGTGCAACTTTTCTGGGGGATCACACTTTTAGCTGAACCGCAATTTTATCCCCCAAGGTTGTTTAGCCCTGGGGGTAAGGACGATGAGACGATGAGATTTCTTTCGCGTAAAGGAAACTCGGACCGCCGCGTGCATCTTACTTCAGCAGGTGCAACTTTCTGGGGATCAGCACTTTTAGCTGAACCCCGATTTATCCCCAAGTTGTTAGCCTGGGGGTAAGGAAGAGACGATGAAGATTTCTTCCGCGTAAAGGCAAACTCGGACCGCGCGTGCATCTTACTTCAGCGGTGAACTTTTCTGGGGGATCAGCACTTTAGCTGAACCCCGAATTTTATCCCCAAGGTTGTTAGCCTGGGGTAAGGACGATGAGACGATGAGATTTCTTCCGCGTAAAGGCAAACTCGGACCGCGCGTGCATCTTACTCAGCAGGTGCAACTTCTGGCGGGATCAGCATTTTAGCTGAACCCGAATTTTATCCCCAAGGTTGTTAGCCTGGGGGTAAGGACGATGAGACGATGAGATTTCTTCCGCGTAAAAGGCAAAACTCGGACGCGCGTGCATCTTACTTCAGCAGGTGCAATTTTCTGGCGGGATCAGCATTTAGCTGAACCTCGAATTTTATCCCCAAGGTTGTTAGCCTGGGGGTAAGGACGATGAGACGATGAGATTTCTTCCGCGCTAAAGGAAAACTCGGACCGCGCGTGCATCTTACTTCAGCAGGTGCAACTTTTCTGGGGGATCAGCACTTTAGCTGAACCCCGAATTTTATCCCAAGGTTGTTAGCCCTGGGGTAAGGACGATGAGACGATGAGGATTTCTTCCGCGTAAAGGCAAACTCGGACGCGGCGTGCATCTTACTTCAGCAGGTGCAACTTTTCTGGGGATCAGCATTTAGCTGACCCGGAATTTTATCCCCAAGGTTGTTAGCCTGGGGGTAAGGACGATGAGACGATGAGATTTCTTCCGCGTAAAGGAAACTCGGACCGCGCGTGCATCTTACTTCAGCAGGTGCAACTTTCTGGGGATCAGCACTTTAGCTGAACCCGAATTTTATCCCCAAGGTTTTAGCCCTGGGGGTAAGGACGGATGAGACGATGAGATTTTCTCGCGTAAAGCAAACTCGGACGCGGCGCGTGCATCTTACTTCAGCAGGTGCAACTTTTGGCGGGATCAGCATTTTAGCTGAACCCGAATTTTATCCCCAAGGTTGTTAGCCCTGGGGTAAGGACGATGAGCCGATGAGATTTCTCCGCGAAAGGAAACTCGGACCGCGCGTGCATCTTACTTCAGCAGGTGCAACTTTTCTGGGGATCAGCATTTAGCTGAACCCCGATTTTATCCCCCAAGGTTGTTAGCCCCTGGGGTAAGGACGATGAGACGATGAGATTTCTTCCGCGTAAAGGAAACTGGACCGCGCGTGCATCTTACTTCAGCAGGTGCAACTTTCTGGGGATCAGCACTTTAGCTGAACCCGAATTTATCCCCCAAGGTTGTTACCCTGGGGGTAAGGACGATGAGACGATGAGATTTCTTCCGCGTAAAGGCAAACTCGGACCGCGCGTGCATCTTACTTAGCAAGGTGCACTTTTCTGGGATCAGCATTTAGCTGAACCCGAATTTTATCCCCCAGGTTGTTAGCCCGGGGGTAAGGACGATGAGACGATGAGATTTTTCCGGTAAAGGCAAACTCGGACCGGCGTGCATCTTACTTCAGCAGGTGCAACTTTTCTGGGGGATCAGACTTTAGCTGAACCCGAATTTTAATCCCCCAAGGTTGTTAGCCCTGGGGTAAGGACGATGAGACGATGAGATTTCTTCCGCGAAAGGCAAACTCGGACCGCGCGTGCATCTTACTTCAGCAGGTGCAACACTTTTCTGCGGATCAGCATTTTAGCTGAACCCCGAATTTTTTATCCCCAAGGTTGTTAGCCCTGGGGGTAAGGACGATGAGACGTGAGATTTCTCCGCGTAAAGGCAAAACTCGGACCGCGTGCATCTTACTTCAGCAGGTGCAACTTTTCTGGGGATCAGCACTTTAGCTGAACCCGAATTTTATCCCCAAGTTGTTAGCCCTGGGGTAAGGACGATGAGACGATGAGATTTCTTCGCGTAAAGGAAAAACTCGGACCGCGCGTGCATCTTACTTCAGCAGGTGCAACTTTTCTGGGGATAGCACTTTAGCTGACCCCGATTTTTATCCCCCAAGGTTGTTAGCCCTGGGGGTAAGGCGTATGAGACGATGAGATTTCTTCGCGTAAAGGCAACCTCGGACGCGCGTGCATCTTACTTCAGCAGGTGCAACTTTTCTGGGGATCAGCACTTTAGCTGAACCCCGAATTTTATCCCCAAGGTTGTTAGCCCTGGGGTAAGGAGATGAGACGATGAGATTTCTTCCGCGTAAAGGCAAACTCGACCGCGCGTGCATCTTACTTCAGCAGGTGCAACTTTTCTGGGGATCAGCACTTTTAGCTGAACCCCGAATTTTATCCCCCAAGGTTGTTAGCCCTGGGGTAAGGACGATGAGACGATGAGATTTCTTCCGCGTAAAGGCAACTCGGACGCGCGTGCATCTTACTTCAGCAGGTGCAACTTTTCTGGGGGATCAGCATTTAGCTGAACCCCGAATTTTATCCCCCAAGGTTGTTAGCCCTGGGGTAAGGACGATGAGACGAATGAGATTTCTTCCGCGTAAAGGAAAACTCGGACCGCGCGTGCATCTTACTTCAGCAGGTGCAACTTTTCTGGGGATCAGCACTTTAGCTGAACCCGAATTTTATCCCCAAGTTGTTAGCCCTGGGGTAAGGACGATGAGACGATGAGATTTCTCCGCGTAAAGGCAAACTGCGACCGCGCGTGCATCTTACTTCAGCAGGTGCAACTTTTCTGGGGATCAGCACTTTAGCTGAACCCGAATTTTATCCCCAAGGTTGTTAGCCCTGGGGTAAGGACGATGAGACGATGAGATTTCTTCCGCGTAAGGAAAACTCGGACCGCGCGTGCATCTTACTTCAGCAGGTGCAACTTTTCTGGGGGATCAGCACTTTAGCTGACCCGATTTTATCCCCAGGTTGTTAGCCCTGGGGTAAGGACGATGAGACGATGAGATTCTTCCGCGTAAAGGCAAACTCGGACCGCGCGTGCATCTTACTTCAGCAGGTGCAACTTTTTCTGCGGGATCAGCATTTTAGCTGAACCGAATTTTATCCCCAAGGTTGTTAGCCCTGGGGGTAAGGACGATGAGACGATGAGATTCTCTTCCGCGTAAAGGCAAACTCGGACGCGCGTGCATCTTACTTCAGCAGGTGAAACTTTTCTGGGGATCAGCATTTTTAGCTGAACCCCGAATTTTATCCCCCAAGGTTGTTAGCCCTGGGGGTAAGGACGATGAGACGATGAGATTTCTTTCCGCGTAAGGAAAACTCGGACCGCGCGTGCATCTTACTTCAGCAGGTGCAAACTTTTCTGGGGATCAGCACTTTAGCTGAACCCCGAATTTAATCCCAAGGTTGTTAGCCCTGGGGTAAGAGCGATGAGACGATGAGGATTTCTTCCGCGTAAAGGCAAACTCGGACCGCGCGTGCATCTTACTTCAGCAGGTGCAACTTTTCTGGGGATCAGCACTTTAGCTGAACCCCGAATTTATCCCCAAGGTTGTTAGCCCTGGGGGTAAGGACGATGAGACGATGAGATTTCTTCCGCGTAAAGGCAAACTCGGCACGCGCGTGCATCTTACTTCAGCAGGTGCAATTTTCTGGGGGATCAGCACTTTAGCTGAACCCCGAATTTTATCCCCCAAGGTTTGTTAGCCTGGGGGTAAGACGATGAGACGATGAGATTTCTTCCGCGTAAAGGCAACTCGGACCGCGCGTGCATCTTACTTCAGCAGGTGCAACTTTCTGGGGGATCAGCACTTTAGCTGAACCCGAATTTTATCCCCAAGGTTGTTAGCCCTGGGGGAAGACGATGAGACGATGAGATTTCTTCCGCGTAAAGGAAAACTCGGACCGCGCGTGCATCTTACTTCAGCAGGTGCAACTTTTCTGGGGGATCAGCACTTTAGCTGAACCCCGAATTTTATCCCCCAAGGTTGTTAGCCCTGGGGTAAGGACGATGAGACGATGAGATTTCTTTCGCGTAAAGGCAAACTCGGACCGCGCGTGCATCTTACTTCAGCAGGTGCAACTTTTCTGGGGATCAGCACTTTAGCTGAACCCCGAATTTTCTCCCCAAGGTTGTTAGCCCTGGGGTAAGGACGATGAGACGATGAGATTTCTTCCGCGTAAAGGAAAACTCGGACGCGCGTGCATCTTACTTCAGCAGGTGCAACTTTTCTGGGGGATCAGCACTTTAGCTGAACCCCGAATTTTATCCCCAAGGTTGTTAGCCCTGGGGTAAGGACGATGAGACGATGAGATTCTTCGCGTAAAGGCAAACTCGGACCGCGCGTGCATCTTACTTCAGCAGGTGCAACTTTTCTGGGGGATCAGCACTTTAGCTGAACCCGAATTTTATCCCCCAAGGTTGTAGCCCTGGGGGTAAGGACGATGAGACGATGAGATTTCTTCCGCGTAAAGGCAAACTCGGACCGCGCGTGCATCTTACTTCAGCAGGTGCAACTTTTGGGGATCAGCATTTAGCTGAACCCGAATTTTATCCCCAAGGTTGTAGCCCTGGGGTAGGACGATGAGACGATGAGATTTCTTCCGCGTAAAGGCAAACTCGGACCGCGCGTGCATCTTACTTCAGCAGGTGCAACTTTTCTGGGATCAGCATTTTAGCTGAACCCGAATTTTATCCCCAAGGTTGTTAGCCCTGGGGTAAGGCGATGAGACGATGAGATTTCTTCCGCGTAAAGGCAAACTCGGACCGCGCGTGCATCTACTTCAGCAGGTGCAACTTTTCTGGGGGATCAGCACTTTAGCTGAACCGAATTTTATCCCCCAAGTTGTTAGCCCTGGGGTAAGGACGATGAGACGATGAGATTTCTTCGCGTAAAGGCAAACTCGGACGCGCGCGTGCATCTTACTTCAGCAGGTGCAACTTTTCTGGGGATCAGCACTTTAGCTGAACCCCGAAATTTTATCCCCCAAGGTTGTTAGCCCTGGGGGTAAGGACGATGAGACGATGAGATTTCTTCCGCGTAAAGGCAACTCGGACCGCGCGTGCATCTTACTTCAGCAGGTGCAACTTTTCTGGGGATCAGCACTTAAGCTGACCCCGAATTTTATCCCCAAGGTTGTTAGCCCCTTGGGGTAAGGACGACGAGACGATGAGTATTTTCTGCGGCGTAAAGGCAAA